TATCTCATTATACAACATCACTATCTAATATATAATTTATTTTTAAATTAAATCAACACTACTCTATTTATATTAAATATGAGTGTTACAACCAATAAACAATTAATTTGCTTACTTGTTAAAGACAATTTTAGCAATTGTTATATAAAGTACAACAACTTTCTTACTTGTTGTAGAAAAGTTCAGCAACTGCTATGAAAAGTACAATAATTTTCCAGCTTGTTGTAGAAATTTAATCAATTATTGTAAAACAAGACAACAACTTGTTAAATTGATGTAGAAAATTGCAGCAATTGCTATGAAAAGTACAACAATTTGCTTAATTGCTGTAAAAAATACAACAACTTGTTTAATTGCTGTAGAGAATTTCAACAATTGGATGAGTCAAATCCTCACCTTCAACTAGTTCACTAACAACATCACAATCCTTTTTTTCGATTAAATTATCAATTCATCAAATTCAAAATACCACATTCACTAATGTACAACAAAAGTGAATTAAAAGTGTAGCAAAATAGTGGTAAAAATGCATATCCACAAGCAGCCCCTTCAATTCGTCAATTTCAAAATACCATATTCACTAATGTACAACAAAGTGAATTAAAAGTATAGCAAAATAGTGGTAAAAATGCATATCCACAAGCAGCTCCTTCAATTCATCAATTTCAAAATATCATATTTACTAATGTACAACAAAAGTGAATTAAAAGTGTAGCAAAATAGTGATAAAAATGCATATTCACAAGCAATCCCTTCTTCATCACTCTTTCAACTCCTTTTTAAATTCGAATCAACCCCTTCATCTGCAATATCAGCCCCTTCATCTATAATATTAAAAAAAATGAATTTCACATGTAAAAATGAAATATATATAACACAAGATAAATCTTAGAAAGATGATTAGAATATAATTTTACCTTTACTATTTCCGGACACAAATTATTTTTCGATAATGTCTCATTCACTTTTCCCTTTTTCTTTTTTCTAGCACTTGACTATGCCTCCGAAATTTGTCTCTTTGTTCTTTTAACATATTCGGGAGTATATGGATAAGAGATCTTTGATGATGGCCTAATACCTCTCTTAGACTTCATGGTGACGATAACTTTCTCTAAAGACTCAATCTTAGCATTCATGGTGACGATAGTTTTCTCTAAAGACTCTACTCTGGCATTCAATAAATCTATCGTCTCCTTAGTGGATGGAGTTTCTTGAAGACAAGGAACATTCTCATCGATCGGAGAAGATGTTTCTACTCCAAAACCACCACTAATATCACCGAAGTCTTCTCCTCTTTCGACATCAACACCATCAGTACATCTATCAACATTTGGAGTAATATCTCCTCCTCCTCCATCACCAACACCACTAAAAACTCTCTCAACAATTGGAGAAGATGCTCCTCCACCTCCTACATCAAGATTATGCTCACCAATTATGATGTCTCTTTTTATAGCCACAACACCATTCAAATCCATCTCAAGCTTTTTCAATCTTATCATCCTTGGTTAATTTCTTAGGCACAAACTTAGTGAAATATTTCATTTCCATTTCACTAGATGTAGGAATTATCCATGGATGCACAATTTCCATGTAAAAATAATAATAATTAAAATGTGATAAAGCAATTACTGCATTTAAATATTATTATATACCAGTTGTTCTAATTGTTCCAACAATTGTTGTAATAACTTCAACAATTGACAACAACTAATTAAACAAATAAAACACTTGTCGAAAAGGCTACAACAAAAACAGAAAAGCAACAACAATTTCACTTTAACTAAAAATGTTTAAAGAATAATGCTTATCGAGTCCTGATGGGGATCAAACAACTCATTAATGTTAACTGATTCGTTATTAGTCGCCAAAAGCCATCGAAAAATCCTCGGTGAAGACACTTGTTTCGAAAACACCTTATATTTCTTTTGGAGGAAAGGAACAACCTCAAATGCCCAACACTACATAAAATAACCACAAAAAGAAATCAAAATAATTGGAAGCACCCAAAAATAATGAAATAAATAAAATATATATATGAACTAAAATAAAATAAAATTTACTATAAAGGCCCATGGAAAACCATAAAGATTGGTAGTCTTCTCATCAATAGTCTTCACCGCTTTCAATAGATGCTTAATTATAGTATCATAGCTAATACGACCCCATAGATAAGCAGAAAATGCTTTTCTATTGGCCGAGTGCAAAATCCACTTTTTTAGAATATTTGTATTCACATCTTTTCCACAAAGAAAGCTATGAACTTTAATAAAGTAAACACTGATTTTTTTACATCTTTACTAAGATTTTTGGTTTGGAGATGTTCAATCAACTCATTTCTCTTGCAACTCCTTCCCACAACCTCAAGAATTTCTTTTCGTCTCATTTTTGTCTTAGTTGACATATTTCACCATCATACACTTCTTCATTATGGCAATTTAAGCCGGTGATGATAGCAAACTCCTTCATTCCAAAACAAATCGGCATGCCACTATAATTTATCCAAGTTTCTTTTTTTCGATGGCTATAAATTTGACGGCGAAGAAGTTGGTCGACTAAACTCATTTGAAATCTTATACGAGTATCTTCAAGTTGTAAGTAATTTTCGAAAATAGTAGATCGAAAGAACTTTACCAATTTTTGTTTTTCTAAAATCGTTCTAATTTTAGAAAACTTACGTAACCCCGACTTAACAGTTAAAGAACTTCTTAAGTTTAGATACCTATCAATCATTGACTCCAAATTGTAATTTGCATACCTAATCGACTTCACAATGAAGTTATCGGGTGAAGGACTGAGCGGAGAAGACTCAACAATAGGAGATGTCTCCTTTTATGGAATGGCTATATCATCTTGTTCCTCCTCAACTGCTCTATCATCTCTTTCTACATTTGTAGAAGAAACATCTATTTCATGTTCTCCTTCTTCTTCTTCTCCTATAGATTTTTCCAAATTTTTGTTTTCTAGTGCTTCTTCTTCTCTTTGTCTTTGTGTTTTGATTCGCCTTTCATACTTTTTAGTAGGAGCTGTTCATTTTTTCCTTGGAGTCATGGATGCACAATCTACATATAAAAACAATAAAATCAAAATGTAATAATAAAAAGACAATTCATTATAATTTAGATAATTTTGAAAGTTAGTTTCAAAACCACATAAAGAAATAGGGTAAACAATTATAAATGTAGCAACTGCTGCTTTTCACTCGCAAAATTCTTCAACTTTTACAAGTTCATAGCTTTCAATTGTTATTTAGAGTTCCATTAAAAATCCCACACTTGACCTACCTGAACCTAATTTAAGTGCAACATCAACAACTAAATCTTAATCCCCACTAGTTGGTCAATATCTCTCATTGTCTATTTGCTTCCAATGTTCTTTTAATGCTAAATTTACACTGATTCCTGGTGATTGTAGGCTTCTTGCTATGTAATTTGTGAGTCGTGATTCTCTTATCCCTACTCATCTTCCATGTCCCTGGATTCTATAAGCTATCCAAACTCTAACGAATCCCAGAACACCATTATCGTTCAGAATATATTAAACATTAACCTAACACCAACAATATTGTCCTTTAGCTCTCTAATTTCTCTAAATTAAGTAAATGAAAGGCTTACTTCTCATTCATAGGCATAAAAATAAAAATCAGCAGAATTTTCATAAATTCAGCATTACAAATATTTTTAAATAGAGAACTCTCAATGAACTCCAGAAATCTTTTTAGCAATGCAGGTGATAACTTGGACAAAAAATAACTCAAAAAATTATAAACAAAAACAACCCAATGGATTTCAACCTTTACACTCTCAAAATCCTAACAATGAAAGAAAAGAAAAGAGTGTTACCTTGAGGGTAGATGACGGAGATGACGAAGAAGACGACAGACGAAGACCACAAGCGAAGACGACAGACGAGGATGAACCCTAACGACCGATACTTGTTCGCAGCAATTGAATGATAAAGAAACACAATTAGAAATTGGTTTATTTTGAATATTTTTAAAAGTATAGAAGTTTTAAA